GCAAAGTCTTAGGCATGACTGCCTATCCGTAACAATCATAAGTGTCCGTCATCTATTCGACCCTTTCCGTTCAGTTCCGCAAAGTCTGAGGCATGACTGCCTATCCGTAATAATCATAAGTGTCCGTCATCTATTCGACCCTTTCCGTTCAGTTCCGCAAAGTCTGAGGCATGACTGCCTATCCGTAATAAACATAAGTGTCCGTCATCTATTCGACCCTTTCCGTTCAGTTCCGCAAAGTCTGAGGCATGACTGCCTATCCGTAATAATCATAAGCGTCCGTCATCTATTCGACCCTTTCCGTTCAGTTCCGCAAAGTCTTAGGCATGACTGCCTATCCGTAACAATCATAAGTGTCCGTCATCTATTCGACCCTTTCCGTTCAGTTCCGCAAAGTCTGAGGCATGACTGCCTATCCGTAAGAATCATAAGTGTCCGTCATCTATTCGACCCTTTCCGTTCAGTTCCGTAGAGTCTGAGGCATGACTGCCTATCCGTAATAAAGATAAGTGTCCGTCATCTACTCGACCCTTTCCGTTCAGTTCCGCAAAGTCTGAGGCATGACTGCCTATCCGTAATAAACATAAGTGTCCGTCATCTACTCGACCCTTTCCGTTCAGTTCCGTAAAGTCTTAGGCATGACTGCCTATCCGTAATAATCATAAGTGTCCGTCAGCTATTCGACCCTTTCCGTTCAGTTCCGCAAAGTATGAGGCGTGACTGCCTATCCGTAATAATCATAAGTGTCCGTCATCTATTCGACCCTTTCCGTTCAGTTCCGTAAAGTCTGAGGCATGACTGCCTATCCGTAACAATCATAAGTGTCCGTCATCTATTCGACCCTTTCCGTTCAGTTCCTCAAAGTCTGAGGCATGACTGCCTATCCGTAATAATCATAAGTGTCCGTCATCTATTCGACCCTTTCCGTTCAGTTCCGCAAAGTCTGAGGCATGACTGCCTATCCGTAATAAACATAAGTGTCCGTCATCTATTCGACCCTTTCCGTTCAGTTCCGCAAAGTCTGAGGCATGACTGCCTATCCGTAATAATCATAAGTGTCCGTCATCTATTCGACCCTTTCCGTTCAGTTCCGCAAAGTCTTAGGCATGACTGCCTATCCGTAACAATCATAAGTGTCCGTCATCTATTCGACCCTTTCCGTTCAGTTCCGCAAAGTCTGAGGCATGACTGCCTATCCGTAATAATCATAAGTGTCCGTCATCTACTCGACCCTTTCCATTCATTTCCGCAAAGTCTGAGGCATGACTGCCTATCCGTAATAAACATAAGTGTCCGTCATCTATTCGACCCTTTCCGTTCGGTTCCGCAAAGTCTTAGGCATGACTGCCTATCCGTAATAATCATAAGTGTCTGTCATCTATTCGACCCTTTCCGTTCAGTTCCGCAAAGTCTGAGGCATGACTGCCTATCCGTAATAAACATAAGTGTCCGTCATCTATTCGACCCTTTCCGTTCAGTTCCGCAAAGTCTGAGGCATGGCTGCCTATCCGTAATACACATAAGTGTCAGTCATCTATTCGACCCTTTCCGTTCAGTTCCGTAAAGTCTGAGGCATGACTGCCTATCCGTAACAATCATAAGTGTCCGTCATCTATTCGACCCTTTCCGTTCAGTTCCGCAAAGTCTGAGGCATGACTGCCTATCCGTAACAATCATAAGTGTCCGTCATCTATTCGACCCTTTCCGTTCAGTTCCGCAAAGTCTGAGGGATGACTGCCTATCCGTAACAATCATAAGTGTCCGTCATCTATTCGACCCTTTCCGTTCAGTTCCGCAAAGTCTGAGGCATGACTGCCTATCCGTAACAATCATAAGTGTCCGTCATCTATTCGACCCTTTCCGTTCAGTTCCGCAAAGTCTGAGGGATGACTGCCTATCCGTAACAATCATAAGTGTCCGTCATCTATTCGACCCTTTCCGTTCAGTTCCGCAAAGTCTGAGGCATGACTGCCTATCCGTAATAATCATAAGTGTCCGTCATCTATTCGACCCTTTCCGTTCAGTTCCGCAAAGTCTGAGGCATGACTGCCTATCCGTAATAATCATAAGTGTCCGTCATCTATTCGACCCTTTCCGTTCAGTTCCGCAAAGTCTAAGGCATGACTGCCTATCCGTAATAATCATAAGTGTCCGTCATCTACTCGACCCTTTCCGTTCAGTTCCGCAAAGTCTTAGGCATGACTGCCTATCCGTAACAATCATAAGTGTCCGTCATCTATTCGACCCTTTCCGTTCAGTTCCGCAAAGTCTGAGGCATGACTGCCTATCCGTAATAAACATAAGTGTCCTTCATCTACTCGACCCTTTCCGTTCAGTTCCGTAAAGTCTGAGGCATGACTGCCTATCCGTAATAATCATAAGTGTCCGTCATCTATTCGACCCTTTCCGTTCAGTTCCGCAAAGTCTGAGGCATGACTGCCTATCCGTAATAATCATAAGTGTCCGTCATCTATTCGACCCTTTCCGTTCAGTTCCGCAAAGTCTAAGGCATGACTGCCTATCCGTAATAATCATAAGTGTCCGTCATCTACTCGACCCTTTCCGTTCAGTTCCGCAAAGTCTTAGGCATGACTGCCTATCCGTAATAATCATAAGTGTCCGTCATCTATTCGACCCTTTCCGTTCAGTTCCGCAAAGTCTGAGGCATGACTGCCTATCCGTAATAAACATAAGTGTCCTTCATCTACTCGACCCTTTCCGTTCAGTTCCGTAAAGTCTGAGGCATGACTGCCTATCCGTAATAATCATAAGTGTCCGTCATCTATTCGACCCTTTCCGTTCAGTTCCGCAAAGTCTGAGGCATGACTGCCTATCCGTAATAAACATAAGTGTCCGTAATCTATTCGACCCTTTCCGTTCAGTTCCGTAAAGTCTTAGGCATGACTGCCTATCCGTAATAATCATAAGTGTCCGTCATCTATTCGACCCTTTCCGTTCAGTTCAGTAAAGTCTTAGGCATGACTGCCTATCCGTAATAATCATAAGTGTCCGTCATCTATTCGACCCTTTCCGTTCAGTTCCGCAAAGTCATAGGCATGACTAGGTAAATTTGCACTGAGTTTAACAGTGTAGACGTAGCTCAGTCGGTTAGCTGTCGGACTAAAAATCCGGAAGTTGCGAGTGCGCGTCCGACGGATTCTCACGAAAACCGGTTGATTGTCTTTCCGACATGTGACTTAGGGGCAGAGATCGTGAGATCACGAAAGGTTGTGGTACTGTATTCTAAAGCCGCCTCCAGGCATACAGCGCACTGCGCAGACACAGTTAACACAGTTAAGCTACTCTTCATTTAAAACATATGTTTTCCAAGTTGTGAAAAGTATGGAATACTGTAAGGGACTTTCTCGAGATCTCGCATTCTCGTGTTTTGGGCATATTTAGCTCGTTTTCAAAGGTCGAGATCGCGAGAATGTCCCTTACAGTATTCCATAGAAAAGTGATATTTTCATTGCAGTGAACACAACACTTGATATTTCACTGCTGTGAAAATAACACTTTGACGGAACTTTTCTCATACAAGAGCGATCTCCTCTCAAATTGTCTCCCTTTATCGTAAGTTCCAACCCGTACACACACTGTTGACTTCCTTTTAACGTTAGTTCCACTTTGATAAGACAAAATAAAGACGGATAACCATTTATTGAGTTAATATCGCTGTTTGTTATTCTCTTGAAAACGTTTTGTTTTAAACTGTAAATTTCTCACTTAACTCTCCAATCGAGACTGTTCGTTTAGCAAAGCGCCATTTTTGTTACTTGACCAGCGTGTATTCTTTCACTTCCAACAGCGGTTTGTGGTTTTCAAGTACATTTTGTGCTAAAGTTGATTTTGTATATAATCATATCTATATGTATGATACAGAATTTTCGTGCCCTAAATAATAATTGTTACTTTTGTTTTATATTTTTTAAGATTTTGTAAACACGAAACTACTTTTTTAGTTGCAAATACAAGAGGTGATGAACCACCCTTTTGTGTTGGGTAGGGAGAATTTAGGTTTCAAGGTTTTACATATGTTATGAAATAATAAAATTTCCGGTGGACAACTACACAAAAAGTATATAATAAATAGTGAGTGAGTGAGTGAGTTTGGTTTTACGCCGCTTTTAGCAATATTCCAGCAATATCACGGCGGGGGACACCAGAAATGGGCTTCACATATTTTACCCATGTCGGGAATCGAACCCGGGTCTTCGGCGTGACGAGCGAACGCTTTAACCACTAGGCTACCCGACCTCCCCATAGAATAAATAGGATATTCCATGTGTCTCGTAAAATATCATGTTTCTCCCATCTCGTGAGGGGTGAAAGAGAGATATTTACACCGTGGCTACGCCTCCATTCTCACCGTCACTCGATGAGAGAAACATGAAATTTCAAGAGACACATGAAATATCCTCTATATCTCCAAAATAGTCCTCTATATCTCCAAAATGATCCATTCTTTGCAGGGACCCGTGAAGATCCGGTGTAGAATAGGTCTTCAGCAACCCATGCTTGTCGTAAAAGGCGACTATGCTTGTCGTAAGAGGCGACTAACGGGATCGGGTGGTCAGGGTCGCTGACTTGGTTGATGCATGTCATCGATCCCAATTGCGTGGATCGATGCTCATGATGTAAATCACTGGATTGTCTGGTCCAGACTCGATTATTTACAGACCGCTGTCATATAGCTGGAATATTGCTGAGTGCGGCGTAAAACAACAAACCAAACCAAACCATTCTTTGCAGGAAACAAAGCCGACCTCCCAGGAGATATCGCTACAATGAAACTGCATCACAGTGCAGGCCATTGTGACATCATCGGTTACCATGACGTTCAGTTTAAGTGACATCACACATCTCACTGAAGCTGTTTGGCTGTACTTTTTACACTTAAGACACCTGCTATTACTGTTTACACTCTGAAAAGGTTGGCAGAATAATGTCGGGTGATTAATGTAATCTCACGCTTGTGTCTTTTGATATCCCGTTTTTACCTTGTATTCGGGACCCTTTCTCTTGACCTGAAGAACATCTCCGCCGTCCCCACACAGCGTGTACTCCAGTGTCCAGATCGTTGACTGACCATTGCACCTGTTGAACTCGAAGACCGTTTTGCCTGCTCGCACTGCAACGCCACAATTACAAAATGCTGTGCTGCCCGGTGAACAAACAGCTGTCTGTAGCTGAACCTGGACATAGTTTCAATGAAAATAATATTCGAACGATAAGATACGCTTTTCTTCTTTTAAAAATGTGAAACGGATGCAGTGGATGTAGTTTAATCGCTGATGAAACCTTTTAGAAAAGGATGAGTGGGCTTCTCTTAGATTTGTAAAATAATGCTGACTGGATGAAAATAATTCATTCGGGAAACATGGGTGAGTGAGTGAGTGAGTTTGGTTTTCGCCGCTTTTAGCAATATTCCAGCAATATCACGGCGGGGGACACCGGAAATGGGCTTCACACATTGTACCCATGTCGGGATTCGAACCCGGGTCTTCGGCGTGACGAGCGAACGCTTTAACCACTGGGCTACCCGACCGCCCCTCGCGAAACATGGTGAAAGTAGCAGTAGGGAAATAATCCATTCAAAACACACCCAATCAACCCGCTGATCCATTTATGAATATTTTGTTATGCAAATATATGCAAATATATGCTAATGAAGAGTAGCTAGCCACGATATGATTTAATATTCCGTTGTTTACGTGGCATGGTATTGGCACTATTTTATTATTACAGTGGCTTCAATAGGCTGGTCATGAAAGATGACGAAAGTTCATTTATATCATTACATACCTCCACAGGAAGGCTTTTGTGCTGGTACAGCGTGAACACGCCTTGATATTGGAGTTCATATGTACTGAAATGTTGGATAAAAATCGTATACAAAAAAACGGGTTGGCCAAGAACCAACAGTAACTGACACGACTATAAGCGCGTGTTTTTCCAAGTTTTCCTTCCGAGTTAATAGTATTGCAAATTATACGCTAAGTAGAGTGTTATGCCGCCATAGGTCATGTCTATTTTAAACAAATCAAAGTTTTCATTTGCAGTTGATTTTTAAATTTATTGAGATGTTATGTTGGGTTTTCACCTTCCGTCAAATGTCTTCATGTGGGGGTCGTTGACCGCATGGCAGGATTTCTTTTCTATTATTTTTGTGTTCTTAGTAAGCTGCACCTGTGCAACAGAAAACACGTTACCAGTCACAGTTCCGTATATGTTACCAAACACAGTGTTATGTATGTTATCAACCACACGTTTGTAAATGTTACCAACCAAAGTGGCACGTATGTTACCCAAAAGAGTATCCTGTATGTTACCAACCAGGGTGTCGTAAAGTTACCAACTACGATGTCGTATATGTCACCAACCGCGGTGTCGTTTATGTCAACCCAAGTGTCGTTTATGTTACCAACAAAACCATGGTGTCATGTATGATACACACACCCAAAGATGGTACAGAAGATACACACAGATGGTACAGAAGATACACACAGATGTACAGGATATACACACGCACACAGATGTACAGAAGATACAAACACACAGATGTACAGGAGATACACACACAGATGTACAGGAGATACACACACAGATGTACAGGAGATACACACACACAGATGTACATGAGATACACACAGAGATGTACAGGAGATACACACACAGATGTACCGGAGATACACACAGAGATGTACAGGAGATACACACACAGATGTACAGGAGATACACACACAGATGTACAGGAGATACACACACAGATGTACAGGAGATACACACACAGATGTACAGGAGATACACACAGAGATGTACAGGAGATACACACAGAGATGTACAGGAGATACACACACAGATGTACAGGAGATACACACACAGATGTACATGAGATACACACACAGATGTACAGGAGATACACACACAGATGTACAGGAGATACACACAGAGATGTACAGGAGATACACACACAGATGTACAGGAGATACACACACAGATGTACCGGAGATACACACAGAGATGTACAGGAGATACACACACATATTTACAGGAGATACACACACTGATGTACAGGAGATACACACAGAGATGTACAGGAGATACACACACACAGATGTACAGGAGATACACACAGAGATGTACAGGGGATACACACAGATGTAGAGGAGATACATACACAGATGTAGAGGAGATACACACACAGATGCACAGGAGATACACACAGATGTACAGGAGATACACACAGATGTACAGGAGATACACACACAGATGTACCGGAGATACACACACAGATGTACAGGAGATACACACACTGATGTACAGGAGATACACACACTGGTGTACAGGAGATACACACAGACGTACAGGAGATACACACAGATGTACAGGAGATACATACACAGATGTACAGGAGACACACACAGAGATGTACAGGAGATACACACAGAGATGTACAGGAGATACATACACTGGTGTACAGGAGATACACACAGAGATGTACAGGAGATACATACACAGATGTACATGAGATACATACACAGATGTACAGGAGACACACACAGAGATGTACAGGAGATACACACAGAGATGTACCGGAGATACATACACTGGTGTACAGGAGATACACACAGAGATGTACAGGAGATACACACAGAGATGTACCGGAGATACATACACTGGTGTACAGGAGACACACACAGAGATGTACAGGAGATACACACAGAGATGTACAGGAGATACACACAGAGATGTACAGGAGATACACACAGAGATGTACAGGAGATACACACACAGATGTACAGGAGATACACACAGAGATGTAGAGGAGATACACACACAGATGTACAGGAGATACACACAGAGATGTACAGGAGATACACACACAGATGTACAGGAGATACACACAGAGATGTAGAGGAGATACACACACAGATGTACAGGAGATACACACAGAGATGTACAGGAGATACACACACAGATGTACAGGAGATACACACACAGATGTACAGGAGACACACACAGAGATGTACAGGAGATACACACACAGATGTACCGGAGATACACACACTGGTGTACAGGAGATACATACACAGATGTACAGGAGACAAACACAGAGATGTACAGGAGATACACACAGAGATGTACAGGAGATACACACAGAGATGTACAGGAGATACACACAGAGATGTACAGGAGATACACACACAGATGTACAGGAGATACACACAGAGATGTAGAGGAGATACACACACAGATGTACAGGAGATACACACAGAGATGTACAGGAGATACACACACAGATGTACAGGAGATACACACAGAGATGTAGAGGAGATACATACACAGATGTACAGGAGATACACACACAGATGTACATGAGATACACACAGATGTAGAGGAGATACACACACAGATGTACAGGAGATACACACACAGATGTACAGGAGATACACACACAGATGTACAGGAGATACACACACTGATGTACAGGAGATACACACACACACACAGATGTACAGGAGATACACACAGATGTACAGGAGATACACACAGATGTACAGGAGATACACACAGATGTACAGGAGATACACACAGATGTACAGGAGATACACACACAGATGTACAGGAGATACACACACATATGTACTGGAGATACACACACACACACAGATGTACAGGAGATACACACACACACAGATGTACAGGAGATACACACAGAGATGTACAGGTGATACACACACATATGTACAGGAGATACACACAGATGTACAGGAGATACACACAGATGTACAGGAGATACACACAGATGTACAGGAGACACACACACAGATGTACAGGAGATACACACACAGATGTACAGGAGATACACACAGATGTACAGGAGATACACACAGATGTACAGGAGATACACGCACACAGATGTACAGGAGATACACACACAGATGTACAGGAGATACACACACACAGATGTACATGAGATACACACACAGATGTACATGAGATACACACACAGATGTACAGGAGATACACACACAGATGTACAGGAGATACACACACAGTTGTACAGGAGATACACACACAGATGTACAGGAGATACACACTGATGTACAGGAGATACACACACAGTTGTACAGGAGATACACACACAGATGTACAGGAGATACACACTGATGTACAGGAGATACACACACACAGATGTACAGGAGATACACACAGATGTACAGGAGATACACACAGAGATGTACAGGAGATACACACAGATGTACAGGAGACACACACACAGATGTACAGGAGATACACACACTGATGTACAGGAGATACACACAGATGTACAGGAGACACACACACAGATGTACAGGAGATACACACACAGATGTACAGGAGATACACACACACACACAGATGTACAGGAGATACACACACACAGATGTACAGGAGATACACACACACAGATGTACAGGAGATACATACACAGATGTACAGGAGATACACACACAGATGTACAGGAGATACACACAGATGTACAGGAGATACACACAGAGACGTACAGGAGATACACACACAGATGTACCGGAGATACACACACACAGATGTACAGGAGATACACACACAGATGTACAGGAGATACACACACAGATGTACAGGAGATACACACTCACAGATGTACAGGAGATACACACTCATAGATGTACAGGAGATACACACAGATGTACAGGAGATACACGCACACAGATGTACAGGAGATACACACACAGATGTACAGGAGATACACACAGATGTACAGGAGATACACGCACAGATGTACAGGAGATACACACAGATGTAACGGAGATACACACAGATGTACAGGAGATACACACAGATGTACAGGAGATACACACAGATGTACAGGAGATACACGCACACAGATGTACAGGAGATACACACAGATGTACAGGAGATACACACACACAGATGTACAGGAGATACACACACAGATGTACAGGAGATACACACAGATGTAGAGGAGATACACACAGAGATGTACAGGAGATACACACACAGATGTACAGGAGATACACACACAGATGTACAGGAGATACACACACAGATGTACAGGAGATACACACACAGATGTACAGGAGATACACACACAGATGTACAGGAGATACACACTCACAGATGTACAGGAGATACACACTCATAGATGTACAGGAGATACACACAGATGTACAGGAGATACACGCACACAGATGTACAGGAGATACACACACAGATGTACAGGAGATACACACAGATGTACAGGAGATACACGCACAGATGTACAGGAGATACACACAGATGTAACGGAGATACACACAGATGTACAGGAGATACACACAGATGTACAGGAGATACACACAGATGTACAGGAGATACACGCACACAGATGTACAGGAGATACACACAGATGTACAGGAGATACACACACACAGATGTACAGGAGATACACACACAGATGTACAGGAGATACACACAGATGTAGAGGAGATACACACACAGATGTACAGGAGATACACACAGATGTACAGGAGACACACACAGAGATGTACAGGAGATACACACACAGATGTACAGGAGATGCACACACAGATGTAACGAAGATACACACACAGATGCACAGGTGATACACACACAGATGCACAGGTGATACACACAGATGTACAGGAGAGGCACACAGATGTACATGATATACACACAGATGTACAGGAGATACACAACAGATGCACAGGTGATACACACAGATGTACAGGAGAGTCACACAGATGTACAGGAGATACACACAGATGTACAGGAGATACACACAGATGTACAGGAGATACACACAGATGTACAGGAGACACACACACATATGTACAGGAGATACACACACACACAGATGTACAGGAGATACACACACAGATGTACAGGAGATACACACACAGATGTACAGGAGATACACACACAGATGTACCGGAGATACACACACACAGATGTACATGAGATACACACACAGATGTACCGGAGATACACACACAGATGTACAGGAGATACACACACAGATGTACCGGAGATACACACACACAGATGTACAGGAGATACACACAGATGTACAGGAGATACACACACTGATGTACATGAGATACACACAGATGTACAGGAGATACACTCACAGATGTACAGGAGATACACACACAGATGTAACGGAGATACACACACACACACAGATGTACAGGAGATACACACAGATGTACAGGAGACACACACACAGATGTACAGGAGATACACACACACAGATGTACAGGAGATGCACACACAGATGTACAGGAGATACACACACAGATGTAACGGAGATACACACACACACACAGATGTACAGGAGATACACACAGATGTACAGGAGACACACACACAGATGTACAGGAGATACACACACACAGATGTACAGGAGATGCACACACAGATGTACATGAGATACACACAGATGTACAGGAGATACACTCACAGATGTACAGGAGATACACACACAGATGTAACGGAGATACACACACACACACAGATGTACAGGAGATACACACAGATGTACAGGAGACACACACACAGATGTACAGGAGATACACACAGAGATGTACAGGAGATACACACAGATGTACAGGAGATACACTCACAGATGTACAGGAGATACACACACAGATGTACAGGAGATACACACACAGATGTACAGGAGATACACACACAGATGTACAGGAGATACACACACAGATGTACAGGAGATACACTCACAGATGTACAGGAGATACACACACAGATGTACAGGAGATACACTCACAGATGTACAGGAGATACACACACAGATGTAACGGAGATACACACACACACACAGATGTACAGGAGATACACACAGATGTACAGGAGACACACACACAGATGTACAGGAGATACACACAGAGATGTACAGGAGATACACACAGAGATGTACAGGCGATGCACACACAGATGTAACGGAGATACACACACACACACAGATGTACAGGAGATACACAGACAGATGCACAGGTGATACACACACAGATGCAGAGGTGATACACACAGATGTACAGGAGAGTCACACAGATGTACATGAGATACACACAGATGTGCAGGAGATACACACAGAGATGTACAGGAGATACACACACTGATGCACAGGTGATACACACACAGATGCAGAGGTGATACACACAGAGGTACAGGAGAGTCACACAGATGTACAGGAGATACACACAGATGTAACGGAGATACACACAGATGTACAGGAGATACACACACAGATGCACAGGTGATACACACACAGATGCACAGGTGATACACACAGATGTACAGGAGATACACACTGATGTACAGGAGATACACACACAGTTGTACAGGAGATACACACACAGATGTACAGGAGATACACACTGATGTACAGGAGATACACACACACAGATGTACAGGAGATACACACAGATGTACAGGAGATACACACAGAGATGTACAGGAGATACACACACACAGATGTACAGGAGATACACACAGATGTACAGGAGATACACACAGAGATGTACAGGAGATACACACAGAGATGTACAGGAGATACACACACACAGATGTACAGGAGATACACACAGATGTACAGGAGATACACACTGATGTACAGGAGATACACACACAGATGTACAGGAGATACACACACAGATGTACAGGAGATACACACAGATGTACAGGAGATACACACACTGATGTACATGAGATACACACAGATGTACAGGAGATACACTCACAGATGTACAGGAGATACACACACAGATGTAACGGAGATACACACACACACACAGATGTACAGGATATACACACAGATGTACAGGAGACACACACACAGATGTACAGGAGATACACACACACAGATGTACAGGAGATGCACACACAGATGTACAGGAGATACACACAGATGTACAGGAGATACACACACAGATGTACATGAGATACACACAGATGTACAGGAGATACACTCACAGATGTACAGGAGATACACACACAGATGTAACGGAGATACACACACACACACAGATGTACAGGAGATACACACAGATGTACAGGAGACACACACACAGATGTACAGGAGATACACACAGAGATGTACAGGAGATACACACAGATGTACAGGAGATACACTCACAGATGTACAGGAGATACACACAGAGATGTACAGGAGATACACACAGATGTACAGGAGATACACACACAGATGTACAGGAGATACACACAGATGTACAGGAGATACAGTCACAGATGTACAGGAGATACACACACAGATGTAACGGAGATACACACACACACACAGATGTACAGGAGATACACACAGATGTACAGGAGACACACACACAGATGTACAGGAGATACACACAGAGATGTACAGGAGATACACACACAGATGTACAGGAGATGCACACACAGATGTAACGGAGATACACACACACACACAGATGTACAGGAGATACACACACAGATGCACAGGTGATACACACACAGATGCAGAGGTGATACACACAGATGTACAGGAGAGTCACACAGATGTACATGAGATACACACAGATGTACAGGAGATACACACAGAGATGTACAGGAGATACACACACTGATGCACAGGTGATACACACACAGATGCAGAGGTGATACACACAGAGGTACAGGAGAGTCACACAGATGTACAGGAGATACACACAGATGTAACGGAGATACACACAGATGTACAGGAGATACACACACAGATGCACAGGTGATACACACACAGATGCACAGGTGATACACACAGATGTACAGGAGAGTCACACAGATGTACAGGAGATACACACAGATGTACAGGAGATACACACACAGATGCACAGGTGATACACACAGATGTACAGGAAAGTCACACAGATGTACAGGAGATACACACAGCTGTACAGGAGATACACACAGAGATGTACAGGAGATACACACACAGATGTACAGGAGATACACACACAGATGTACAGGAGATACACACCCTGATGTACAGGAGATACACACACACAGATGTAACGGGGATACACACAGATGTACAGGAGATACACACACACAGATGTAACGGGGATACACACACACACACAGATGTACAGGAGATACACACAGCTGTACAGGAGATACACACACAGATGTACAGGAGACACACACACAGATGTACAGGAGATACACACAGAGATGTACAGGAGATACACACAGATGTACAGGAGATACACTCACAGATGTACAGGAGATACACACAGATGTACAGGAGATACACTCACAGATGTACAGGAGATACACACACAGATGTAACGGAGATACATACACACACACAGATGTACAGGAGATACACACAGATGTACAGGAGACACACACACAGATGTACAGGAGATACACACAGAGATGTACAGGAGATACACACAGAGATGTACAGGAGATGCACACACAGATGTAACGGAGATACACACACACACACAGATGTACAGGAGATACACACACAGATGCACAGGTGATACACACACAGATGCAGAGGTGATACACACAGATGTACAGGAGAGTCACACAGATGTACATGAGATACACACAGATGTACAGGAGATACACACAGAGATGTACAGGAGATACACACACTGATGCACAGGTGATACACACACAGATGCAGAGGTGATACACACAGAGGTACAGGAGAGTCACACAGATGTACAGGAGATACACACAGATGTAACGGAGATACACACAGATGTACAGGAGATACACACACAGATGCACAGGTGATACACACACAGATGCACAGGTGATACACACAGATGTACAGGAGAGTCACACAGATGTACAGGAGATACACACAGATGTACAGGAGATACACACACAGATGCACAGGTGATACACACAGATGTACAGGAGAGTCACACAGATGTACAGGAGATACACACAGCTGTACAGGAGATACACACAGAGATGTACAGGAGATACACACACAGATGTACAGGAGATACACACACAGATGTACAGGAGATACACACCCTGATGTACAGGAGATACACACACACAGATGTAACGGGGATACACACAGATGTACAGGAGATACACACACACAGATGTAACGGGGATACACACACACACACAGATGTACAGGAGATAGACACAGCTGTACAGGAGATACACACAGAGATGTACAGGAGATACACACACAGATGTACATGAGATACACACAGATGTACAGGAGATACACACAGAGACGTACAGGAGATACACACACAGATTTACAGGAGATACACACACACATATGTACAGGAGATACACACACAGATGTACAGGAGATACACACACAGATGTACGGGAGATACACACACATATGTACAGGAGATACACACACACAGATGTACGGGAGATACACACACAGATGTACATGAGATACACACAGAGATGTACAGGAGATACACACAGAGACGTACAGGAGATACACACACAGATGTACAGGAGATACACACACAGATGTACAGGAGATACACACACAGATTTACAGGAGATACACACACACATATGTACAGGAGATACACACACACACACAGATGTACAGGATATACACACACAGATGTACAGGAGATACACACACAGATGTACCGGAGATACACACACACAGATGTACAGGAGATACACACACACTGATGTACAGGAGATACACACACAGATGTACCGGAGATACACACACACAGATGTACAGGAGATACACACACTGATATACAGGAGATACACACAGATGATTACCCTGATGAATCCGGCGTCGTATTCATCCCATAACAGATGGCTTCGCAACGATCTTGTTTTTAACTTTAGTTTCTGAACCTGGGTAGTTTCCCCATATGTTTGGGAGATCTGCCCGTAAACTGCAATCGATATTGGCTTGTTCCACGTCTTCGAGGATATCATTGCTCCACAATCGGAAGTACTCACTAACCTGGCACCGCAAGTGTCGCACGTCTTTGGAACTGGCACCACAAACATGGACACAAAAGAATGGTACATTTGCACAGCGGTGACAAACTTTTTGTTTGTTTGAAATTGGTGTCAAGTTGATACTATTAAATACACTTCACATGTTATTTTAATGCACAGACACTACAGTTACTGCACTTCACATTTCATAATGATGCATATAATACTAGCTTCACTGAAAATAGATTTGTAATAGATTTGTAAAGCGTTCAATATGGCTTCCACTACGGCCATGTTATATAACCAGGTGGAACTTCATGTGAGCAAATATTTGAGACCATTTGTCTCAGCTCCACAGGTCACATAGTTTCAGAGAAGATGTCGGAAATTGACACTTCGATGTCTGATGGGTCGGAGGAGAAGGCTAACAATGTCCAGAGCTCCAGATAAGCTTTTGGTATTGTGGGTATTTTACCCATGCATTTAAAATCATTGGGAATCAGTAATTCTATCTGGGTATTCAAATTTCTGTTACCCACTAGTTTTTACACAAGTGGGTATTTAAGTGAAATATTTAAAAACACTATTCATCTAGTCCCTGCAAACTGGTGTCGTGTGGGTTCGAGAGCTTTATAGGACTCAAAAATACCACGATACCTCCACAAGAAAGTGTGATGGCAAATGATCATGATGTAACTGTCATCGTGGAGTTTGGCAAGGTTGACGGAAAAGCCAGTTTATAATTTCAAAATAAGTTACTGATTTGCTAATCGAATACGCAGGGTTACTTCACAATATTTTGATGATATGCACAAGTTTTATTTTCGTTGCGTATTTGATACGCTTGGATTTTATTTTACTGCGTATTTCTGCATTTCTGATGCGTATTTTACGCAGATACGTGTTCAACGCATATTCATTTCCACGGCCCGCGACATGAACACATTGTTATCAAATGCCATCGCACGAACAAGACAATGACGTTCAGACCGTGCTGCTGTGTCAAGCACGTTAGGAGCATCAGTTCTAATTCAACTCTAATCAAATCGTCTTAAACTAAATACCGTAACTCATGGAATTAGTGAGTGAGTATGGTTTTACACCGCTTTTAGCAATATTCCAGCAATATCACGGTGGGGACACCAGAAATGGGCTTCACACAATGTACCCATGTCGGGAATCGAACCCGGGTCTTCGGCGTGACGAGCAAACCACTAGGCTACCCCACCGTACCAAACATGAAATTAATAGCCAGGGTGGAATAGTAGCCTAAAATGGGGTATGAAATAATGCGAATAACCCCGTCCATGAAGTTAGTTAATCTAGCTTCACTGTATTCTGTTCGCTGCTACAATCATAGACCTGCCCTGTAATATATTCTGTTGTTTTGTTGAATAATTTATTTCTTGTTACCATCAGTATATTGTAAATATGCAGTGTGTTTCACCTATTTGGCTTCCTTCTATTTGGAGATCACAGTCGAGGAGTTGTCCACACCCGAAGGGAGCGGTCAGTTGTAGAGTAATGTCCGCTTTCTCGCCCTCCGACAACACCAGTGTTTCAGGGGTCATCTACAACACCCAAAGTTTTGTATAACAAACATAGCAACTTTGATGATATCATTTGTTCCGACAAATTGATGGTACGCACTAAATGTTGTCCCTCGAAGAGCAAACGTCCCAGGCTAGTCCTGCACCATGACTGCGGAATTTATATATTTTAGGTATTTTGTTTTACTAAACGCCTTGGCAAGAGTAGATCAAACTAACCAAGTCTAGTTTGCTTGTATCAAAACAGCAGAAGAGGATTCTTTCTTTCGAAAAAAATATTTTTTATTATTTTAAAGACGTGCTTTCATTGACTAGTCCCAGGTACACGTAAAGAATATAGAGGGATGGGGTTTGGGGGTAGGGTGCTACCTAATACATATTAATATTTGTTCAGTCACTGAATCAAGACATTATTTATTTATTTCCCTGAAAGGAGGACTAGAAAAGCAGTATTTGTTTTCACATTTTTTTCGGGATATTCAGCAAGTCCGAAGTTTTGGCAAACCTTTCAATCACTGCTTCGCCTGCCTTTTGCGGTGCCTATCAAACGGCAGATAAGGCTTACCCTGAAAACAGTCTAAATGTCGCATATGACAATGATAAGTTTTAAACAGACCCGAATAATATAAGGTGATACCGACTTATATTAAAAGGAAGACTTAAATATTATTCAGAAATGATATGTAAAGAAATGACTTTGTGGAATTCAATTTTCATATTAAAGTCAATATCTGGTCCATTGGCACACGGGATATCAAATGCCGGGTTGTCTCCCCTGGTATCATTGGCCTTTCTTCTTGATAGGTCTACCTGAGCTGTTGCAAATTCTAGGAACGCTGAGTTGGGTTGCGAACCCCTCGGCCCAGAACACCCCAAAGGTGTTCAATCGGTGACATGTCACAACCTTTTTATGACACCATGTTGCATTAGACACCTGACTGCAACACAAGCTCTCAGATGACGCGCGTTGTCATCCTCGAACTCTTCTGACCTCGCACTGGGCAATGGGATGACAAATGGACGTGACATTTGGTCCACAGTTATGTTCTCTTGCACGATCGTCAGCTGCAGACTCGTCCTGTTGTCGTACGTGATGCCGCCACCGTACATATCGTGCCCTTGGACTGCTTCGGATAGTGTCACTCTTCACGCCGGCTCCAAACACATGTCTGCCATCTGTGAAGCCTAAACCTCGATTCATCACAAAACATGGGGTATCTCCAACGCCGCTGTTGACGACCTCCAGATGTTGTCTGAGGTGCCCGTGTGTCGGAAGGACGTCTTGATTTCAGACCCACTGTTTTCAACCTGTTTCGTATCGTTGACGTTTGAAGTTTTCCCTCGTGATATCGCTTTCTCGTCTCGTGTTATCGCTTTCTCGTCTCGTGTTATCGCTTTCTCGTCTCGTGGTATCGTTTTCTCATCTCGTGGTATCGCCTTCTCGTCTCGTGCTATCGCTTTCTCGTCTCGTGTTATCGCTTTCTCGTCTCGTGTTATCGCTTTCTCGTCTAGTGGTATCGCCTTCTCGTCTCGTGCTATCGCTTTCTCGTCTCGTGTTATCGCTTTCTCGTCTCGTGCTATCGCTTTCTCGTCTCGTGGTATCGCTTTCTCGTCTCGTGTTATCGTTTTCTCGTCTCGTGTTATCGCTTTCTCGTCTCGTGTTATCGCTTTCTCGTCTCGTGTTATCGCTTTCTCGTCTCGTGTTATCGCTTTCTCGTCTCGTGTTATCGCTTTCTCGTCTCGTGTTACCGCTTTATCGCATTCTCGCGACCATAATTGAAGGCAAGAAAGCGATGTCCCCTCTCGGCCACCATACGAGGCAGTGCACGGTCTCCAATTAGCCCCGAGGCCTGTCCTCTGGTGTAACTCTTCCTTTTGAGCTGAGCAGTTGACAGTGATATTCGTATTAAATTATCTACTTGGATTACCTCACCTTCCCGCTCGGTTCGTCTCAGTCCAACAATATCTAGGGGTTCTACTGAACTACACCAAATCAAAATCAGTCGTTCGACCAGCAGTTGCCTTCAATGCAGAGTTTCTCATCTGGCAGCTGTATTGGATTATTTTGCGTGAGATATTTTCTAATAGTAAACCAATTCAATAATTAAAACTAACCTTGTTTTTCTATATTTAGTGCTGTCTTTTTTAACATGATGACTTATGCTGAATCTGACCCATATATTTTCAAGCAAGGTGGTGTGGGTGGTGTGTTTAGCTTCCTGTACTCGGAAAAGGAACTGGCTAAGCAAGTCATTTTTATGTTTATATTGATGCTTTAAGGCTAGACTGTGCACACATGTATACTCACACGCAAAAGAAACGCAAGTCGAGTATGCAGTATACATGCTATTTATTTTCAACAGTAAAGACAAGAAAAACAAAAGGGGCAAGAGTGACAAAAAATTGACTGAAGACAGTTTAATGGATTAAAAGGCAGATGACATAATTGTTTTTTTCAAATGTTAAGGGCTTACACATTTTCGTGTCAATACCCAAAATGTCAGTCAATACCTGGTGTGACCACCATTAACATTGATCACTGCAACACATCTCCTGTACATTGAGTGGATCAGACGATTTGTGAAGGCCCTAGGGATCCCCCTGCACACATCCAGAGCAGCTGTGCGTAGTTCATCGGCAGTTGTAGGGACTGGGTGCACATTGTGCAGACGCCTTTGAACCTCATCCCACAAGTGTTCGATGGGGTTCAGATCAGGGCTGAGGGCTGGCCACGGTAGAACACGGATGTTGTGTTGTTGCAGAAACGCCATGGTAGCTCTGGCAACATGGGGACGAGCGTTGTCCTGCTGGAAAATGACCCTATGCCCACTGAAGTCGTGCTTGTCGATGCCGTGGTTGGAGAACAGGACGACGTGCTGGTCGGCGACAACTGAGGTTGTTGGAACGGAGACGTCGGATCACAGTGTCCCGGCTAATGTGTCGATTATGTGTTCATATGGTCTGTCGAGCACTTTCACTTGCAGTTAGGAACGGATGTCGCTTGTGTTGACGGGTAATCTGCCGATCTTGTCGAGGTGTGGTGACCCTAGAACGACCGCTCCGAGGAAGGTCATCTGTGGTCTGTGTAGCATTGTATCGATGCAGGAGACGGTAAATTGTGGTAATGTTAACGTTGAAATGACGGGCAACATCTTGGACAGACTCTCCAGCTTCCAAACGTCCGATAGCCTGGTTTCTCTGAATTTGAGTTAGGCGTGGCATTGTTGACCAAGGAGTGGTAGGTCCAAGAATCGGCCACAGTTTTATACCCACTACCGTTCGTGACAGTTCGTGCATTTTCGATTTCGCGAGAAATGGGTGCATGATACCCACATATTTATTGAAATGGTGCGTTTTGGCGATTCGTTATTTATTTTTCGTTTTAACTCGGGGCTTCCAAAATGCAACCAAAAATATTGATAACACCATCAGGCTTCACAACATGCTAAAACTCGTATCAATTTATGGCTCCGTGTTTGTTACCTATTTGCTTAAAACCACTTGCGTTTCTTCTGCGTGTGAGTATACATGTAATAGCTTTAGAATGTCTAGTAGAATACATATAACGTTACTATAGAAGTCGATTGGAAAACAAGGTAGCATGTAACCTTGGCCAGCATTGGCAGGAAGCTACAAAGGAACCAGTTTCCAACTCCTGACTATCACATGACACCACATCCCCTGGCGGCAGTCATGAACCTAACGTGAATTTTGTCTTCGGCAGCCTCCGCGGTCTAGTGGTAGAGTGTCCGCCGGGAGAGCGAAAAGTCCGGGGTTCGATCCCAAGTCGCATCATACCGAAAGACGTTAAAAATGGTACTTGTTGTTACCCTGTCTGTCAGAAAGCATTAAGGGGCTAAGACAAGGACTGGTCGACCGGGAGTCAGTATACTGTGGCTGTATGGAGTATTCATGTTAAATTGGTATCTTAGTGGGCTGGCACTATAAAATAGGCATAAGACCAGACTAGCACAAGAAGGCACGCACGAACGCACGCAGACACGCACGCACGCACGCAGACACGCACGCACGCACGTCGCTATAAAAGTGCAAAAATCTTGGACGCAACGTTAAATCCCATTTCACCAACTCACCTTGTTTCTGTCTTCAAATCATAGTGAATAATGTTTACCAGTCTACAAAACGGCCGTTGTGTTATATGAACTAGAGACCCGCGAATCTGACATTACACGATCTAATGTGAATTTAGGCAATAAAATGACTTTGCCCGGGGTATAATGTAGAAAGCGGAACAAGCCGAGTAGACCCGAGCGGCTATTTTAATAAGGCCGCTGAAAGGTGAAGTGTAATGGGTTTTATGTCTCGTATAAAGATCATTTCACTTACATAGCGACTTGATTGCCCATGTGTGTGTGCCTACCGTTACGGCGGTTTTATATCCAGCAATTTAAGCGAGTGAGTGAGTTGGGTTTAGCGCCGCGTAAAACATTATTCCAATTATATTGCGGCGTGCCAGCTTAATATGGGAGGAAGCCCGAAGTGATGCAGGTCTCAGACGTTTACCACTTCGGTGAAACCCACGAGCACGAGTATGGTGCTGACAAACCTAGAAACATAATCGGGGCGAACCGGGATTGGAACCCACATTCATAGGTTACTGGCGTGCCCAAGGGACGCAACTCTGCTCAGCGAATCGCGGGGCCTGGCGACGACGAGTGGGATACCCGTGCCCCCAGCAATTTAAGAATACCCACTCAGACAGTATAGTGACTCCGAACCGACCAGTCCTCCGTTTATCTAGTTAATGCCGAGCGCCAGGCAGCGTAACAACATGTACCATCGTTTAACGTATTTTGGTATGGTGCTGCTAGGGGATCGAACCACCGACCTTCCGTTCTCCGGGAAAACGCCCTGTCTACTAAACCAGGGAGGCGGTTAGACCGCTGAAAGAGGCTCTTGACAGGTACATCGATACATGTTCAGAATAGATGACGTAGAAAAATAGACAATGACAAAACAATTCTGGAACATACCTTAATACCGATGAATTTAGGATCCGACAAGTGTGGCGTGCTTGATGGCTTATCAACACCCGTACTGGCTCTGACTGAACAACGGACCTGAAGGTAAGTGAGTGAGTGGGTGAGTTATTGCGTGGGTGAGTTATTGAGTGGGTGAATGGGAGGAAGCCAGAAGGGATACAGGTCTTGGGCGTTTCCCAATTTGAACAAATCCCATCTTCCGGAGGCAAGGGAGTTAACTGACTTTAAAAGTCCAGTTTTCAACCTTGCCGAACTAGGCTGGAATTTCTGGGCTCGATCGTTGCGCCATCAGTGGCTAGTACGAGTCATGTCCCTTCCGTGTCCCTCCTATTTACCAATCAGATTCCACCTCTCAACACTTGCATTTGGAGGCAAGGGAGTTAACTGACTATAAAAGTCTAGTTTCCACCCTTGCCGAACTAGGCTGGAATTTCCGGGCTCGATCGTAGCGCAACCAATCAGATTTCACCTCTCAAAACTTGCATTTGCCTCAAACAAAATGGCGGCGTTCAGTCAAGGCGATCTGAGTGATACTGAAACTCTGTTTCGTGATAATTACCTTGATAAAACAACATGTGATACCTTGATAACCTTGATTAAAAAAAGACATGAAAAGATTTGGGAAATATCTGTTGACGCACGGCAGTTTATGAACCGGTTGTCGATTTTTGACTCGTTAGTCTAGCCAAAATATAACGCCATAATTCCAGCTTAGTTCGGCAAGGATTGAAACTGGAATTTTATAGTCAGTATTGACTCGGGAACTTGAAGAAATCCACGATCACGGGTATGGTGCTGGGAAACCTAGAAAGGGGATCAGGGAGAATCTGGAGTCGAACCAATGATGATAGGTTACTGTCGCGTCCAAGGGACGCAACTCTGCACAAGGCTAACCGTGTAGGGGGCTGCATACGTACCAAAGACAACAATAAGATTAGTTTTGTACACGTTAACACATTCACTCACATAACAAATATATCTTTATATCACTTACGATTTTTTTTAAAACGTGCCTAATGATACATGTGTATGACAAGCGAAGGTGTTTACTTCTATCGTGATTAAGGGGCTCTCGTGGATACTTCTTCTAAATAAATGAATTATCATTATCCGATGGTTATGACATTTTTCATACAAAACTATATCCCACAGGGGATATCGCTTGGGTGAGATTAGTGATTGCATGACAATGCTTTGCAGACCATTGTGACGTGATTGGTCATCACTAGGAGCTCTGCTACTGAAGCTGTTTTACACCAGAGACACTGCTTATTACTGTCTATAAACTGAAAAGGTTGGAAGAATGATGTTGGATGATAAATAAAATCCCAAATTTTGATTGTGTTTTCAGATATACCTCAAATCCAACTTTAGTTATTCCCGCTTTCTTCAGTTTTTCTTCTGTCAGAACCTGTTTCTTGATGATTTGTCCACCTTCCCACTTGCTGGGGCTCTCATTATCGATATTTTTCCCGTCGACGACCCAGTAGGTGCTGTAGAAGATGTCGTCGGGGTGTTTGTTGAACTCGCAGCTAAACTCAAGCTCGTTTTTAAAAGGGTTCTTGTTAATAAGTTTGACGGCAACAGTTGGTTTCTCGACGAAATCTGGAGCTGCATTGTGAATTGGTATTGCTTCAAACAACAACAACAACAACAACAACAACAACAACAACAACAACTACTACCACCACCACTACTACCACCACCACCACCACTACTACTACTACTACTACTACTACTACTACTACTACTACTACTACTACTACTACTACTACACTACTACTACTGCAAATAATGTTTGCCGTAAAAAGCGACTATGCTTGTCGTAAGAGGCGACTAACGGGGTCGGGTGGTCGCTGACTTGGTTGATGCATGTCATTGTATCACATTGCGTGGATCGATGCCCATGATGTCAATCACTGGATTGTCTGGTCCAGACTCGATTATTTACAGACCGCCGTCATAAAGATGGAATATTGCTGAGTGTGGCGTTAAACAACAAACAAAACAAACAAACAAAGAGACTACTAATGCTGCTACAAAAAGTGTTGCTACCGCTATTACGACTAATAATGACATAGCTGTTGTTGTTGTTGTTGCAACTACAGCTACAACTACAACATCTACTACCGTAACTGGCTAACCGAAGGCCTAGGTTCGACTCTCCACATGAGAACAATATGTTTAGCCCATTGCTGGTGCCTCCCCCGTAATAGTTCTGGAAAGAGGCATAAAACCAAACTTAAAACTCACCCACTCTGCTACCAGAGGTAGTGCATTTGATGCCACTGTTCGTTTAGTCTACTGCCAATACTACTACTACTACTACTACTACTACTACTACTACTACTACAACTAACCAATACGGTGGGGGTAGCCTAGTGGCTAAAGCGTTCGCTCGTCACGCCGAAGACCCGGGTTCGATTCCCGACATGGGTACAATTTGTGAAGCCCATTTCTGGTGTCCCCCGCCGTGATATTGCTGGAATATTGCTAAAAGCGGCGTAAAACCATACTCACTCACTCACTCACTCACTCACTAACCACTGGATTCCTTGCGGCAAGAATAGTCCAGTCTCCTGAAGTGTACTCAACATAATTGATGTGGTCTTTTCATTTACTGACAAAGTCCTGAGCGCCATGCGCCACAAAGCGATGGTCAGTCAATCATTTTATTGTCTTAAAAAAACAGGACCCAAGGAGGTACTCGAGTACGGCGGGAGACACCAGAAATGGGCTTCACACATTGTAACCATGTGGGGGGTAGAACCCGGGTCTTCGGCGTAACGAGCGAACGCTTTAACCACTGGGCTACCCCACCGCCCCTGTAGTACTCGAGAAGAAACAATGTAAAATCCCTTTGCTGATGTTATAAAACGTCAATCGCACGCGCGCACACACACACACACACACATGCGCAAACACGCACGCACGCACACACACACGCACGCACACACACAAACACGCACGAACACACACAGAGGGAGGATGACACGAATATATGCCATCACGCACGCACACACGCACACACACGCACGCACACACACAAACACGCACGAACACACACAGAGGGAGGATGGCACGAATATATGCCATCACGCACACACAAACGCACACACACACATGCGCACACACACACACACACTCGCACACGCACGCACATACATATATATATATATATGCTCACCAGCACGCACGCACACACACACACGCACGCGCACGCACACACGCACACGCACACGCACACACGCACACACACGCACGCACGCGCACACACACATGCGCACACACACACACGCAAGCACGCACATACAATCGCACGCGCGGGCACACACGCACACGCACGCATGCACACACACAGAAACACGCGCGCACACAGACACACAGAGGGAGAATGGCACGATGGTACGAATATATAATATATATAAATATATATATATATATATATATGCACACCAGCACGCACGTACGCACACACACACACAAACACATGCACGCACGCACATACACGCACGCGCGCACACACGCACACGCACACACACGCACGCACCTACACACGCACACGCACGCACATACAATCGCACGCGCGCACACACATGCTCACACATACACACACACACACACACACACACACACACACACACACACACACACACACACACACACACACACGCACGCACGCGCGCACACACGCGCGCACACACACGCACACGCGCGCACACGCACGCGCACGCACGCACGGACAAACACGCACGCACACACACACACACAGAGGGAGGATGGCAGCAGCTTGCAGCGGATTAATGTGCAGATATTCGTGTTTTTTAGCGGAATATGATGATGTAAAATTGTCATCTGCAATAGTACTTGTACTGATTGACTTTTATTTTGTATGAGTTTCTTGGAGTATGAACCTTCAATGAGTGAGGGTCAAACAAGTAACTATCGGTTCGTGAATAAAAACTCTTGTTCACGACCCGACACTTAAACTACATCCAAATATTTAGACTTTTAGACAAACATTATTTTGTTAAAAAAATATTGATAAATATACCTGGCCCCCCTTGCACAAAGCGATCTTAGCGCTAAGACTATCGTAAGCCTATGTTAAAGTATGGGAGTTACGATCATCTTAGCGCTAAGATCGCTTTGTGCAAGTGGGCCCAGAACTCTGAGAAGTCTGTATTTGTACTGTGTGATTCGTCGTTGCGTGTTAAGCTTTGAGTGTCCGTCAATTCCAAACACGAATAGTTAACAAGCATCTGTTCATGAGTCAAACAGAATCGTTTAAACAATATAATCAAAGACTTATTTCAAGTGAACATAATACTCACGCGCGTCCCCTTTCTTGTAAGCTGCAACGTAAATAATATGAATTTACATGTTTGTTGTTTGTTGTCTAACGCCGCACTCAGCAATATTCCAGCTATGTGACGGCGGTCTGTAAATAATCGAGTCTGGACCAGACAATCCAGTGATGGATATCCTGACCATCGATCCACGCAAATGGCAGCGAGCCTAAATACCCGATCCCGTTAGTCGCCTCTTACGACAAGCACAGTGGCCTTTTGTGGCAAGCATGGGTTGCTGAAGACCTATTCTTGCCCGGATCTTAAGGGGTGGAGTCTATAAAGAATACAAGCAATACATTTATCACAAAGTATCAACATTTGCTGGATCACAAACACCAATATTTAAGTTGAAATTAAAATTGATAAATTTACCAATGGTTAATTTGAATGACGCCCTCCCTAGTATTTTATCTTATCATAAAACAGCAACATATATATATGTCCATCTGAAGGGCCTCGCGGGACTAACGCCATTGTTTAACTTGAAAATAAGATAATACAGTTGTTCAAGGTTAATTTGGGCGACGCCCTCCCCGGAGTTTATCTTATCACAAAACACCAACATATACTCTTCAAAAAAAGAAACACATAGGAGATAATGAGAATGTTGATTTTGTAAATTCCTAAAACATTCAATACAAATATAATACAATACAATATTTTTGATTGAACGATGTTAGTCACATGTTCGTCCTGGTGTAGTGCACAAACGTAATCTCCTGAAACTTTCAGCTTTGTACAGCATTTTTCATATGATCCAAGATTGTCCGAGAAGTGGTAGACTAAGAGTCATCTCCCCTACACGAGATCGCTACATCCGGGTCTTTCACCTGCGACCCGTGAAGATTCCGGTGTAGAATAGGTCTTCAGCAACCCATACTTGCCGCAAAAGGCGACTATGCTTGTCGTAAAAGGCGACTTACGGGATCGGGTGGTCAGGTTTGCGAGGATCGATGCTCATGATGTCAATCACTGGATTGTCTGGTCCAGACTCGATTATTTAACAGACCGCCGTCATATAGCTGGAATATTGCTGAGTGCGGCGTTAAACAACAAACAAACAAACAAACAAACAAACAAACAAAGAAACAAACAAAGAAACAAACAAATCATCATTGACATGCTACTGCCACCGAGACTGCAGAACATGTGCCTGGTTTGAGGAGGGTATCCGACCAAACAATCAGGAATCGTCTGCGAGAGGTATGAATTTGTATCAGAAGACCGGTATTTGTCCCTGTAGTAGGACGTTTGCATCCACTACAACGTAGGCGATGGAGCAACACCGTACAGACATCAACTGGAGGCGAGTCTGGTTCAGAGATGAATCACGATTTCTTCTCCAACGCCGAGATAGAAAAAAGAGTGTCTGCTAATGTCGGAATGAACGTTTCCACCGAACGGCGTCCGACAGGTCCGGAGATCCGATGGCAGAAGTTTGATGGGGTGGGGGAGCCATATCCTACACACGGAGATCTGACTTGGTGGTCGTTCTGGGGAATCTGACAGCAAATCGCTACATCGACCAAATGTTTCAACGTCACCTTCCAATTATCAACCGACAGAGGGAGTTGTTTCAACATGACAACGCTACACCACACACAGCTCGTGTCACTGATGACATCCTTCATAATTCCAACGCCAATGTCTTGCCATGGCCTTCCAGATTTCAGGATCTGAACTCGACAGACGTGTACATCAGCGACAACATACGCCACAGACGCTTGCACAACTGGCACAACTGGCACAACTGGCCAACGCGTTGCAAGAAGAGCAGAGCAGAATTCCACAGAACAGAATCGGTAAACTTATTCGGTTTGTGCCAAGGAGGTGCAGAGCAGAAATAACAGCACGCGATGGTCACAACAAGTACTGAACGGAACGCCCCCCCCCCCCCCCCCCCCCCTCTTCTCCCCCACCCCTTTCCCCCCGTGGACGGACGTGTCTTGTGACAGGACAATCAGTATTACCATCATGTTTACAGAACTTGTCACTGTTATGCTTTGTTTCATCCTTGTGATACTCAATATGTGTTTTTTATTGAAGACACTATGATTTTTCAAAGTTAGCCTATGCGTTTCTTGTTGTGAAGATTATATATGCCTGCCTTTAGGACGTTGCGGGACAAAAGCCATTGTTTAATGTAAAATTATGGTTATGCATTTGTCCATGGTTACTGTGGGCGACGCTCCTCCGGATTTTATCTTACCAAAACAATAGGCGCTGGAATAATCCGGAGTCCTCAGCAGGTGGTAAAGCTCGGTTGTACCACACATCTTTGTGTTAATGTTGAACAGCTTGTAACACGTGTCGCCGGCATCCTGCAAGCACATCACGGAGGTGTCGCCATTCTTTTCTGAAAACAGAATTGCTTTTTGTGATGGATACCTGTTGCTTTGCACAGCCAAAAAATGGATACTAGGTTTCCGTTTTTCGGAAACCTTCTGATCACCTTCCAACTTTGAATCCGGCCGGGATACCTTCCGGAAACCGCCCCCAATAATTGTCAAAATTTTAGGGTGCATTTTGTTCAGTAAGTGTGAAACAGATAACAAATATTTGAAACTTACCAAGAAAATTGAAGATTACTTGAAGTACCCGGAAGGTATTCGGAAAACGGAAACCTACCCTTGTTTGCTGTGTTGCCGGCTTCATCCGTGAACCAGTCAGCATTTGGTCTCTGGTTTCATCTGGTATATGCCACGGAGTTAAAACCCTTTATATGTGACAACCTTATCATGTTCGAACCCAATGATGTCCTAATCCTACGATGTCCCACCCTTACGATGTCTCAATCAAACGTCGATGTCCCAAGTCTACGATGCCCAAAGCCTACGACGCCCCAACCTTCCGATGTCTCAGTCAACCTTACGATGTCTGAATCAAACGTTAATGTCCTAACCCTACAAATGTCATAAACTCTCGATGTCCAAACCTCACGGTGTCCTAACCTCATGAAGTCCAAACCTTATGATATCCAAACCTTATGGTGTCCCAACCTTATGATGTCCAAACCTCACGGTGTCCATACCTTATGATGTCTAAACCTTACGGTGTCCATACCTTATGATGTCTAAACCTTACGGTGTCCATACCTTATGATGTCTAAACCTTACGGTGTCCATACCTTATGATGTCCAAACCTCACGGTGTCCCAACATTATGATGTCTAAACCTTACGGTGTCCATACCTTATGATGTCTAAACCTTACGGTGTCCATACCTTATGATGTCTAAACCTTACGGTGTCCATACCTTATGATGTCTAAACCTTACGGTGTCCATACCTTATGATGTCCAAACCTCACGGTGTCCCAACATTATGATGTCTAAACCTTACGGTGTCCATACCTTATGATGTCTAAACCTCACGGTGTTCAAACCTTATGATGTCCATACCTTATGATGTCCAAACCTCACGGTGTCCCAACATTATGATGTCCAAACCTCACGGTGTTCAAACCTTATAATGTCTATACCTTACGGTGTCCCAACCTTATGATATCCAGACCTTACGGTGTCCTCACCTTATGATGTCTATACCTTACGGTGTCCCAATCTTATGGTGTTTATACCTTACGGTATCCCAACCTTATGATGTCTAAACCTTACGGTGCCCAAACCTTATGATGTCTAAAACTCAGTGTGTCCCAACCTTATGATGTCCAAACCTCAAGGTGTCCCAACATTATGATGTCCAAACCTCATGATGTCCAAACCTTATGGTGTCCCAACCTCATGATGTCCATACCTTATGGTGTCCCAACCTAATGATGTCCAAACCTTATGGTGTCCCAACCTCATGATGTCCATACCTTATGGTGTCCCAACCTAATGATGTCCAAACCTTATGGTGTCCAAACCTCATGATGTCCATACCTTATGGTGTCCCAACCTAATGATGTCCAAACCTTACGGTGTCCCAACATTATGATGTCCATACCTTATGGTGTCCCAACCTCATGATGTCCATACCTTATGGTGTCCAAACCTTATGATGTCCATACCTTATGGTGTCCCAACCTCATGATGTCCATACCTTATGGTGTCCCAACCTCATGATGTCCATACCTTATGGTGTCCCAACCTAATGATGTCCAAACCTTATGGTGTCCCAACCTAATGATGTCCAAACCTTATGGTGTCCCAACCTAATGATGTCCAAACCTTACGGTGTCCCAACATTATGATGTCCAAACCTCACGGTGTCCCAACATTATGATGTCCAATCCTCATGATGTCCATACCTCATGGTGTCCCAACCTTATGATGTCCACACCCTATGGTGTCCCAACACCATGATGTCCAAACAGTATTATTCCCACCTTTTCGCCAGATGGGGTAGAGGGTTCCGCAGTGTTGGAAGCCAGGCGCTGAATCCAGGAGAACTCGCCCACCCACGTCATACCAGCCCTCGGTCAGATCCCGGTCACTGATGCGGGACTCGCCCGTGGCTACCTGGTAGTTGCTGTCTCGTTTGTCAATATCACCCAGCGTGTTAAAACCAGTGCAGGGGTCTGAAACAATAAAATGGCGGTGTATGGTGGAGGCGATGGTGGTGCATGGTTCGGGTGGTGGTATTGTAAGGTGGCGGTGGTAATATGGTGGAGGTCGTGGTGAATGGTGGAGGTGGTAGTGGTTTATGATGGAGGTGGTGGTATATGGTGGAGGTCGTGGTGAATGGTGGAGGTGGTAGTGGTTTATGATGGTGGTGGTGGTGTATGGTGGAGGTCGTGGTGAATGGTGGAGGTGGTAGTGGTTTATGATGGTGGTGGTGGTGTATGGTGGAGGTGGTGGTGTATGGTGAAGGTGGTGATGTATGGTGGAGGTGGTGATGTATGGTGGCGGTGATGGTGGTGTATGGTGGTGGTGCTGTATTGTGGACGTGTTGGTATATGGTGGAAGTGGTGGTGGTGTATGGTGAATGTGTTGGTGGTGTATTGTGAAGGTGGTGGTGTATGGTGGAGGTGGTGGTGTATGGGTGGTGGTGGTGTATTGTGGAGGTGGTGGTGCTGTATGGTGGCGGTGATGCTGTATGGTGGCGGTGATGGTGTATGGTGGAGGTGGTGGTGGTGTATTGTGGGGGTGGTTGTGTATTGTGGCGCTGGTCGTGGTGTATGGTCGAGGTGGTGGTGTATGGTGGCGGTGGTAGTGGTGTAAGGTGGAGGTGGTGAAGTATGATGGATGTGGTGGTGGTGCATGGTAGAGATGGTGCTGGTGGTGTATGGTGGAGGTGGTGGTGTATGGTGGAGGTGGTGGTGTATGGTGGAGGTGGTGGTGTATGGTCGAGGTGATGATGTTTGGTGGAGGTTGTGGAGGTGGTGGAGGTGGTGGTGTATGGTGGAGGTTGTGGTGTATGGTGGAGGTGGTGGTGTATGGTGGAGGTGATGGTGTATGGTGGAGGTGGTGAAGTATGATGGATGTGGTGGTGGTGCATGGTAGAGATGGTGGTGGTGGTGTATGGTGGAGGTGGTGATGTATGGTGGAGGTGGTGGTGTATGGTTGAGGTGGTGATGTTTGGTGGAGGTGATGGTGTATGGTGGAGGTGCTGGTGTATGGTGGAGGTGGTGGTGTATGGTGGAGGTGGTGGTGTATGGTGGAGGTGGTGGTGTATGGTGGAGGTGGTGGTGTATGGTGGAGGTGGTGGTGTATGGTGGAGGTGGTGGTGTATGGTGGAGGTGGTGGTGTATGGTTGAGGTGATGATGTTTGGTGGAGGTGATGGTGTATGGTGGAGGTGGTGGTGTATGGTGGAGGTGGTGGTGTATGGTGGAGGTGGTGGTGTATGGTGAAGGTGGTGGTGTATGGTGGAGGTGATGATGTTTGGTGGAGGTGGTGGTGTATGGTGGAGGTGGTGGTGTATGGTGGAGGTGGTGGTGTATGGTGGAGGTGGTGGTGTATGGTGGAGGTGATGATGTTTGGTGGAGGTGGTGCTGTATGGTGGAGGTGGTGGTGTATGGTGGAGGTGGTGGTGTATGGTGGAGGTGGTGGTGTATGGTGGAGGTGGTGGTGTATGGTGGAGGTGGTGGTGTATGGTGGAGGTGATGATGTTTGGTGGAGGTGATGGTGTATGGTGGAGGTGGTGGTGTATGGTGGTGGTGGTGGTGTATGGTGGAGGTGATGATGTTTGGTGGAGGTGGTGGTGTATGGTGGAGGTGGTGGTGTATGGTGGAGGTTGTGGTGTATGTTGGAGGTGGTGGTGTATGGTGGAGGTGGTGGTGTATGGTGGAGGTGGTTGTGTATGGTGGAGGTGATGATGTTTGGTGGAGGTGATGGTGTATGGTGGAGGTGGTGGTGTATGGTGGAGGTGGTGGTGTATGGTGGAGGTGGTGGTGTATGGTGAAGGTGGTGGTGTATGGTGAAGGTGGTGGTGTATGGTGGAGGTGGTGGTGTATGGTGGAGGTGATGATGTTTGGTGGAGGTGGTGGTGTATGGTGGAGGTGGTGGTGTTTGGTGGAGGTTGTGGTGTATGGTGGAGGTGGTGGTGTATGGTGGAGGTTGTGGTGTATGGTGGAGGTGGTGGTGTATGGTGGAGGTGGTGGTGTATGGTTGAGGTGATGATGTTTGGTGGAGGTTGTGGTGTATGGTGGAGGTGGTGGTGTATGGTGGAGGTATTGTGTATGGTGGAGGTGGTGGTGTATGGTGGAGGTTGTGGTGTATGGTGGAGGTGGTGGTATATGGTGGAGGTGGTGATGTATGGTGGAGGTGGTGGTGTATGGTGGAGGTGGTGGTGTATGGTGGAGGTGGTGGTGTATGGTGAAGGTGGTGGTGTATGGTGGAGGTTGTGGTGTATGGTGGAGGTGGTGGTGTATGGTGAAGGTGGTGGTGTATGGTGGAGGTGGTGGTGTATGGTGGAGGTGGTGGTGTATGGTGGAGGTGATGGTGTATGGTGGAGGTGGTGGTGGTGGAGGTGATGGTGTATGGTGGAGGTGGTCGTGTATGGTGGAGGTGGTGTATGGTGGAGGTGGTGGTGGTGTATGGTGGAGGTGGTGGTGTATGGTGGAGGTGATGGTGTATGGTGGAGGTGGTGGTGTATGGTGGAGGTTGTGGTGTATGGTGGAGGTGGTGGTGTATGGTGGAGGTGGTGGTGTATGGTGGAGGTTGTGGTGTATGGTGGAGGTGGTGGTGGTGTAGGGGTGGTGCTGGTGAATGGTGGAGGTGATGGTGTATGGTGGAGGTGGTGGTGTATGGTGGAGGTTGTGGTGTATGGTGGAGGTTGTGGTGTATGGTGGAGGTTGTGGTGTATGGTGGAGGTGATGGTGGTGTATGGGTGGTGGTGGTGAATGGTGGAGGTGGTGGTGTATGGTGGAGGTTGTGGTGTATGGTGGAGGTTGTGGTGTATGGTGGAGGTCGTGGTGTATAGTGTAGGTGGTGGTGGTGTATGGGTGGTGGTGGTGAATGGTGGAGGTGATGGTGTATGGTGGAGGTGGTGGTGTATGGTGGAGGTTGTGGTGTATGGTGGAGGTTGTGGTGTATGGTGGAGGTTGTGGTGTATGGTGGAGGTGATGGTGTATGGTGGAGGTGGTGGTGTATGGTGGAGGTTGTGGTGTATGGTGGAGGTGGTGGTGTATGGTGGAGGTGATGGTGTATGGTGGAGGTGGTGGTGTATGGTGGAGGTGATGGTGTATGGTGAAGGTGATGGTGTATACTAGAGGTGGTGATGTTTGGTGGTGGTGGTGGTGTATTCTAGAGGTGGTGATGTATGGTTGAGGTGGTGGTGTATGGTGGAGGTGGTGGTGTATACTAGAGGTGGTGATGTATGGTGGTGGTGTATTCTAGAGGTGGTGATGTATGGTTGAGGTCGTGGTGTATGGTGGAGGTGGTGGTGTATACTAGAGGTGGTGATGTATGGTGGTGGTGTATTCTAGAGGTGGTGATGTATGGTTGAGGTCGTGGTGTATGGTGGAGGTGGTGGTGTATACTAGAGGTGGTGGTGTATGGTTGAGGTCGTGGTGTATGGTGGAGGTGGTGGTGTATTCTAGAGGTGGTGATGTATGGTTGAGGTCGTGGTGTATGGTGGAGGTGGTGGTGTATACTAGAGGTGGTGGTGTATGGTGGAGGTGGTGGTGTATGGTAGAGATGGTGGTGGTGTATGGTGGAGGTGGTGATGTATGGTGGAGGTTGTGGTGTATGGTGGAGGTGGTGGTGTATGGTGGAGGTGATGGTGTATGGTGGAGGTGGTGATGGTGTATGGTGGAGGTGGTGGTGTATACTAGAGGTGGTGATGTTTGGTGGTGGTGTATTCTAGAGGTGGTGATGTATGGTTGAGGTGGTGGTGTATGGTGGAGGTGGTGGTGTATACTAGAGGTGGTGATGTATGGTGGTGGTGTATTCTAGAGGTGGTGATGTATGGTTGAGGTCGTGGTGTATGGTGGAGGTGGTGGTGTATACTAGAGGTGGTGATGTATGGTGGTGGTGTATTCTAGAGGTGGTGATGTATGGTTGAGGTCGTGGTGTATGGTGGAGGTGGTGGTGTATACTAGAGGTGGTGGTGTATGGTTGAGGTCGTGGTGTATGGTGGAGGTGGTGGTGTATTCTAGAGGTGGTGATGTATGGTTGAGGTCGTGGTGTATGGTGGAGGTGGTGGTGTATACTAGAGGTGGTGGTGTATGGTGGAGGTGGTGGTGTATGGTAGAGATGGTGGTGGTGTATGGTGGAGGTGGTGATGTATGGTGGAGGTTGTGGTGTATGGTGGAGGTGGTGGTGTATGGTGGAGGTGATGGTGTATGGTGGAGGTGGTGATGGTGTATGGTGGAGGTGGTGGTGTATACTAGAGGTGGTGATGTTTGGTGGTGGTGTATTCTAGAGGTGGTGATGTATGGTTGAGGTGGTGGTGTATGGTGGAGGTGGTGGTGTATACTAGAGGTGGTGATGTATGGTGGTGGTGTATTCTAGAGGTGGTGATGTATGGTTGAGGTCGTGGTGTATGGTGGAGGTGGTGGTGTATACTAGAGGTGGTGATGTATGGTGGTGGTGTATTCTAGAGGTGGTGATGTATGGTTGAGGTCGTGGTGTATGGTGGAGGTGGTGGTGTATACTAGAGGTGGTGGTGTATGGTTGAGGTCGTGGTGTATGGTGGAGGTGGTGGTGTATTCTAGAGGTGGTGATGTATGGTTGAGGTCGTGGTGTATGGTGGAGGTGGTGGTGTATACTAGAGGTGGTGGTGTATGGTGGAGGTGGTGGTGTATGGTAGAGATGGTGGTGGTGTATGGTGGAGGTGGTGATGTATGGTGGAGGTTGTGGTGTATGGTGGAGGTGGTGGTGTATGGTGGAGGTGATGGTGTATGGTGGAGGTGGTGATGGTGTATGGTGGAGGTGGTGGTGTATACTAGAGGTGGTGATGTTTGGTGGTGGTGTATTCTAGAGGTGGTGATGTATGGTTGAGGTGGTGGTGTATGGTGGAGGTGGTGGTGTATACTAGAGGTGGTGATGTATGGTGGTGGTGTATTCTAGAGGTGGTGATGTATGGTTGAGGTCGTGGTGTATGGTGGAGGTGGTGGTGTATACTAGAGGTGGTGG